TCTTTGATTTCTTTCATCAGTGATATATAGTTTTCTATGTATAGGTCTTTTGTTTCTTTAGGTAGATATACTCCCAAGTATTTTATTCTTTTTGTTGCAATGGTGAATGGTATTGTTTCCCTAATTTCTCTTTCTATTTTCTCTTTGTTAGTGTATAGGTATGCAAGGGATTTCTGTGTGTTAATTTTATATCCTGCAACTTTACTATACTCATTGATTAGCTCTAGTAATCTTCTGGTACAGTCTTTAGGGTTTCCTATGTAGAGGATCATGTCATCTGCAAACAGTGAGTCACCTCTAGACAAGTGCTCAGGGCTGGTGCACTGGGAAGACCCAGAAGGATGGGATGGGGTGGGAGATGGGAGGGGGGGTTCAGGATGGGGAACACATGTAAATCCATGGCTGATTCAGGTCAATGTATGGCAAAAATCACTACAATATTGTAAAGTAATTAGCCCCCAACTAATAACAATAAATGGAAAAAAAAATAACTCAGATGACCATTATATCTACTAGTGTGGTCAGGAATCCCTTAGAAGAAATCGAGAAGCCATCATGGTCAACAAAAGAGTCCAAAATGCAGTACTTGGATGCAATCTCAAAAATGACAGAATGATCTCTGTTTATTTCCAAGGCAAACCATTCAATACCATGGTAATCCAAGCCTATGCCCCAACTAGTAATACTGAAGAAGCTGAAGTTGAATGGTTCTATGAAGACCTACAAGACATTTTAGAACTAACACCCAAAAAAGATGTCCTTTTCATTATAGGGTACTGGAATGCAAAAGTAGGAAGTCAAGAAACACCTGGAGTAACAGGCAAATTTGGCCTTGGAGTACAGAATGAAGCAGGGCAAAGGCTAATAGAGTTTTGCCAAGAGAACGCACTGGTCATAGCAAACACCCTCTTTCAACAACACAAGAGAAGACTCTACACATGGACATCACCAGATGGTCAACACCGAAATCATATTGATTATATTCTTTGCAGCCAAAGATGGAGAAGCTCTATACAGTCAGCAAAAACAAGACCTGGAGCTGACTGTGGCTCAGATCATGAACTCCTTATTGCCAAATTCAGACTTAAACTGAAGAAAGTAGGGAAAACCACTAGACCATTCAGGTATGACCTACATCAAATCCCTTATGACTATACAGTGGAAGTGAGAAATAGATTTAAGGGACTAGAACTGATAGAGAGCCTGATGAACTATGGACGGACCATCCCCATGGAAAAGAAATACAAAAAGGCAAAATGGTTGTCCAAGGAGGCCTTACAAATAGCTGTGAAAGAAGAGAAGCAAAAAATAAAGGAGAAAAGGGAAGATATTCCCATTTGAATGCAGAGTTCCAGAGAATAACCAGGAGAGATAAGAAAGCCTTCCTCAGCGATCAGTGCAAAGAAATAGAGGAAAACAATGGGAATGGGAAAGAATGGGAAGACTAGAGATCTCTTCAAGAAAATTAGAGATATCAAGGGAACATTTCAGGCAAAGATGGGTTCAATAAAGGACAGAAATGATATGGACCTAACAGAAGCAGAAGATATTAAGAAAAGGTGGCAAGAATACACAGAAGAACTGTACAAAAAAGATCTTCATGACCCAGATAATCACGATGGTGTGATCACTCACCTAGACTCAGACATCCTGGAATGTGAAATCAAGTGGGCTTTAGAAAGCATCACTACAAACAAAGCTAGTGGAGGTGATGGAATTCTAGTTGAGCTATTTCAAATCCTGAAAGATGACATTGTGAAAGTGCTACACTCAATATGCCAGCAAATTTGGAAAACTCAGCAGTGGCCACAGGACTGGAAAGATCAGTTTTCAATCCAATCCCAAAGTAAGGCAATCCCAAAGAATGCTCAAACTACAGCACAATTGCACTTATCTCACACACTTGTAAAGTAATGCTCAAAATTCTCCAAGCCAGGCTTCAGCAATGCATGAACCGTGAACTTCCAGATGTTCAAGGTGGTTTTAGAAAAGGCAGAGGAACCAGAGATCAAATTGCCAAAATCTGCTGGATCATCAAAAAAGCAAGAGAGTTCCAGAAAAACATCTACTTCTGCTTTATTGACTATGCCAAAGCCTTTGACTGTGTAGATCACAATCAACTGTGGAAAAATCTGAAAGAGATGGGAATACCAGACCACCTGACTTGCCTCTTGAGAAACCTATATGCAGGTCAGTAAGCAACAGTTAGAACTGGACATGGAACAACAGATTGGTTCCAAATAGGAAAAGGAGTACATCAAGGCTGTATATTGTCACCCTGCTTATTAACTTATATGCAGAGTACATCATGAGAAATGCTGGGCTGGATGAAGCACAGCTGGAATCAAGATTGCTGGGAGAAATATCAATAACCTCAGATATGCAGATGACACCACCCTTATGGCAGAAAGTGAAGAGGAACTAAAAAGCCTCTTGATGAAAGTGAAAGAGGAGAGTGAAAAAGTTGGCTTAAAGCTCAACATTCAGAAAACTAAGATCATGGCATCTGGTCCCATCACTCCAAGGTAATAGATGGGGAAACAGTGGAAAAAGTGTCAGACTTTATTTTGGGGGACTCCAAAATCATTGCGGATGTTGATTGCAGCCATGAAATTAAAAGACGCTTACTCCTTGGAAGGAAAGTTCTGACCAACCTAGATAGAATATTAAAAAGCAGAGACATTACTTTGACACAAAGGTCTGTCTAGTCAAGGCTATGGTTTTTCCAGTGGTCACGTATGGATGTGAGAGTTGGACTGTGAGAAAGCTGAGCTATGAAAAATTGATGCTTTTGAACTGTGGTGTTGGAGAAGACTCTTGAGAGTCCCTTGGACTGCAAGGAGATCCAACTAGTCCATCCTAAAGGAGATCAGTCCTGGGAGTTCATTGGAAGGACTGATGCTGAAGCTGAAACTCCAGTACTTTGGTCACCTGATGTGAAGAACTGACTCATTGGAAAAGACCCGGATCCTGGGAGGGATTCGGGGCAGGAGGAGAAGGGGACCACAGAGAATGAGATGGCTGGATGGCATCACCGACTCAATGGACATGGGTTTGGGTGGTCTCCGGGAGTTGGTGATGGAGAGGGAGGCCTGGCATGCTGCGATTCATGGGGTCGCAAAGAGACGGACATGACTGAGCTACTGAACTGAACTGAACTGAACTGAATATTCAGTTCCAGGTTCACTTGTTCCCATTTCTTTGGGGCCAGTTCTTGAAATTGTGGCAGGTCATGTCCTGGGTACAGGCTGGTCATCATGTAGCTAACTTCTCCACCTGGTGTTTTAGTATCTATAAGACAGCTCATAAGATATGACTCATGATATCTATAGCTGTTGAGAAAGAGCTAAAAGTCCTTGACTATGCTTAATGACTTCATTATTATTATTTAGTTTCCTTTATTTCAGCATTTCTCACGTCTCTGATTAAACTTATTCCTTTGCTAAAGTTTTTCACAGACAACAGGCAGGCAGAGGACATGATGGAGCAGGCGCAAGGACCATAGCGTCCTGCTCCATTTCAGGGTGAGGAGGAGTAGATTTGGTAGTTGCAAAGTCCCTGGCAACCTTATCAGCCAATGTCAGGTACATATTGGTCATGGAGCAGGCTGAAGACTAACTGGTGGGTGAGAAGTGGGAATAGATAGTTCTTTTTTAACATTTGAAAAGGAGAATAATAGCCAAAGCAAAAATCTAAAGAAAAGACACAATAGAAAGATGTTTTGCTTGGTTTCAGGATTGTGATTATTTGAGTATGTCCTTTGGAAGTACAAACAATTGGAAAGGGGGAGATTTGAGGGATAAATGGCATGAAATAAAGACTACTTTAAAAAAATGTTTTAAAAAGAGGATTAAACATATCCTTGAAAACAAAACATATTCCTCCTAAACAAGAAAGGAAGTAAAGCTGAATAACAAAAGTATAAGTTTGGATGTGGACAAGAAAAAAGTTGAATTGTTAAAATTCTATTTTAACAAAAATACACTTTAAAACTGCTTAACTTTTAAAAGATAAACCTTGAATTCATTATTAACCAGTCTGAAGAAAGGCATGAGAATTTCGCCAGAATTCAGATGTGCTTTGTTTACTTAGATTCCTGACCAGAAACAAGCTAAGAAGAGACCACTATGGGATTTTTTCCGACATGTAGAACAGAGACTGAGAAGAATGGGAGCTTTTATGAACATCTCACCATTTCATTTTCTTTCCTTCTCTCCTTCCCCAAACTGAAAGGCCCGATGGAGGCGATTGGCATTTTTCTCATTCTTTCGTAGTAATGAAAACAACGAGGAAGAGATGGTCGTGACATGAGCAATGGCCAAAGTCCTTGCTTGAAACATCCAGAACTTGCTCTGCAAATTTATTTCAACTTTGCTCTCAACTCCTTCACCTTAGAACACCTGGGAGGTGGCAGTCAACAAGGATGGAGAGCAGAAAGCCGCAAAGATATCTGGTTCGGCAACAGTGGTCACAGAGCTGATCAAACCCGATGAAAGTGGAAACCACATTTTCAAAAATCAGCCGGAATCTGACAAGCCCGCCCTGACGCCTGTAAAAGAAAATGATTTTCACTTTTCATTGGCTGACCCTCCCAGAGTTGAGACCTTGTTTCATTTTCATTGGTCATTGATGCCGTCACGTCCTTCCACCACACCCAAAACGCCCAGTGAGCTTTGGGGAAAAGTGATTTACAGAGGTCGGGGGCGGGAATTTGCGAGCAGCTAGACAATTCCGCGCCCCCCGCCCCCCGCCCGCCCCGCCGCTTCCTCCTCACGGCCCTGCCCCGCCCCCTGGCCTAAAGCCACGCCCCTTCCCCCGCCGGGCCCCGCCTCTCCCTCCAGAGAGGGCGGGGACCTAGTGGCGGCCGCAGCCGCAGGAATATGCTGGAAGCCGGCTGGCGGGCGCCGGGGAGGTGCTGAACGGACAGTTCCCGCCGCTTTATTTGCCCGGCGGCGGGTAGGAGGGTGGGGCGGCCTTAGAGTCCGCTGGGCACGTGAGCGATGGAGACCATCTGGATCTACCAGTTCCGCCTCATCGTCATCGGGGACTCCACCGTGGGAAAGTCGTGCCTCCTGCACCGCTTCACTCAGGGCCGCTTCCCTGGGCTGCGCTCCCCAGCCTGCGACCCCACTGTCGGCGTGGACTTCTTCTCCCGCCTGCTGGAGATCGAGCCAGGCAAGAGGATAAAGCTGCAGCTCTGGGACACGGCGGGACAGGAGCGGTTCAGGTAGGACCCCCGGCGCTGGGACCCCCCCCCCCCCACCCCAGGGACCGCACCGCCCCCTCCGTCCGCCTGGGGCCCCCTCCCTAAGCGTTGTCCGCACCGGCCCGAGTCGGGAGTAGCTCTGGCCCTTCCCTCTCGAAAGTGCAAACACTCCATTCTCGCTTCCCCTTTGCCCCTCCTCTTCCAGGGACGACTTCCTCCTCCGCAATTTCTCACTTCTTTCTTTGGCTCCCATTTCCTGCGCCCCCTTTCCGTTTTTCCTTTCCCGCCTGACCCAGGTCACCCTCACCAGCCCCTCTTACCCAGCACTCTGGCCCTGCTGGCATTTTTATCCCCAACTCTTCGGCTCCCCCGCTGCCTTCTCCCCAAACTCAGCGTCCCTCGCTTCGCACGCCCTGACCTAGCCACCCTTCTCCAAGCTCCAGTTTTCCTCCTCTGACCGAGCAGCTTCCCATCTATGCGGCCCCGGAGAACTGCATAGAAGGATTCCCAGATTCATGATTGATCAGTTTAGCTTCACAGCAAGCAGTGCTCCAGCCCGTATTACAGCATGAGCTCATTGGGCACCGTGCAGACGGAGATGAATGCGGTAATGGTCTGAACATCTCACAGCACCGAATGTGGTCATCAGAAATACAGGGCCAGGACCCGTGAGAGTGTGTCTAGTACAGCAACCAAGGACACAGACACAGCTGAATTTTTGTGTTTCATTGTTATTGTTTTTTAAGGATTGAGTTGTCTTTAGAAGTTTGTTATCACTGGTGCTTTGTTGGAGAAAAGAGAGATGTACATACTGAGATTTGTTAGGAACTTTTCCTTTATTTTATTTAAAATAGGTACTTAACGTTCCAGGGTGATAAAAGATCAGAAAATACTTGTCTACATGGAGGAGGAATACAAATAAATAGTCTCATTCTACATGCTCATTGAAACCCTGAAGAAATTCACAAAAGTGACTGCCAAATAAAAACTAAATGTAAATTGTATGCATTTCCTAGATATTTAAGATGGAATCAGATATGAAGCACATTTAAAATTTTTAGGATTCAAGAGCTTTTTTTTTAGAGGAGGGTAAGGGATCTGATATATTATAGTGTTTGGGACTCTTTTAAGGTTATGTTATCAACTGGAACTCATTAAAGCAAGCATTTTGTAGTCTTCTGCTTTTGGAACAGGTACTTCTTAACCATACTTCCCAAACATGGCTCCCCTTCACCCCATCCAACACCCATTCTGAGTGAGATCAGTCTATTTCTCTGAGAAAAAGAGAAAAAGCCTCCTTTAAAATAATTTTTCAAACTCTTAATTCCTCATCTGTAAAATGGAGTCATTATGATCTCTAAGATTCATTACAGTTTTACCATTGTAAGGTTGACAGCAAATTCATTCACTTATGATCTCAATCAGAGATGAACGTTAACATATTTCATGGTCAGTAAAAAGCATTTACTATAGCTCTTGCTCTACCCTCTAAAGTGAAGTGAAGTTGCTCAGTCATGTCTGACTTTGCAACCCCATGTACTGTAGCCCGCCAGTCTCCTCCATCCATGGGATTTTCCAGGCAAGAATACTGGAGTGGGTTGCCATTTCCTTCTTCCCAACCTAGGGATCGAACCCAGGTCTCCCGGATTGCAGGCAGACTCCTAACCCTCTGAGCCACTAAAGTGAATATAGTAAAAACATGTTCTTTATACCTTAACTTCTATACCATTACTTTATACCTTAAACGTCTAGCAACTACTGATAGTTAAGAAGTATAGGTAGGAAAATCTTCTCGAGTCTAAAATGCTTTCCTTAAAAGTAACTCTTTAAAAAAAATTTTTTTTAATTAATTTATTTTAATTGGAGGCTAATTACTTTACAGTACTGCAGTGGTTTTTGCCATATATCGACATGAATCAGCCATGGGTGCACATGTGTCCCCCCATCCTGAACCTCCCTCCCACCTCCATCCCCACCCCATCCCTCTGGGTTGTCCCAGAGCATCGGCTTTGCGTGCCCTGCTTCATGCATCGGACTTGCACTGGTCCTCTATTTTACATATGGTAATATACATGTTTCAATGCTATTCTCTCAAATCGTCCCACCCCCGCCTTCTCCCACAGAGTCCAAAAGTCTGTTCTTTACATCTGTGTCTCTTTTGCTGCCTTGCACGTAGGATTGTCATATACTGTGTTGGTGTTTCTCTTTCCGACTTACTTCACTCTGTATAATAGGCTCCAGTTTCATACACCTCGTTAGAACTAACTCAAATGTGTTCTTTTTTTATAGCTGAGCAATATTCCATTGTGTATATGTACCATAACTTCCTTATCCATTCATCTGCTGATGGACATCTACGTTGCTTCCATGTCTTATCTATTGTAAAGGGTGCTGCAATGAACATTGGGGTACATGTGTCTCTTTCAATTCTGGTTTCTTTAGTGTGTATGCCCAGCAGTGGGATTGCTGAGTCCTATGGTAGTTCTATTCTCAGTTTTTTAAGGAATCTCCACACTGTTCTCCATAGTGGCTGTACCAGTTTGCATTCCCACCAACAGTGTGAGAGGGTTCCCTTTTCTCCATACCCTCTCCAGCATTAATTGTTTGTAGACTTTTCGATGGCGGCCATTCTGACCTGTGTGAGATGATACCTCATTGTGGTTTTGATTTGCATTTTTCTAGTAATGAGTGATGTTGAGCATCTTTTCATGTTTCTATTAGCCATCTGTATGTCTTCTTTGGAGAAATGTCTATTTAGTTCTTTGGCCCATTTTTTGATTGGGTCGTTTTTCTGGTATTGAGCTTTATGAGCTGCTTTTATATTTTGGAGATTAATTCTTTGTCAGTTGTTTTGTTTGCTGCTATTTTCTCCCATTCTGAAGGCTGCCTTTTCACTTTGCTTATAGTTTCCTTCATTGTACAAAAGCTTTTAAGTTTAACTAGGTCCAATTTGTTTATTTTTGTTTTTATTTCCCTTACTCTGGGAGGTGGGTCATAGAGGATCTTGTTGTGATTTACATCAGAGAGTGTTCTACCTTTGTTTTCCTCTAAGAGTTTTATAGTTTCTGGTCTTCCATTTAGGTCTTTAATCCATAAAAGTAGCTCTTAAACTTATTGTAAGGGATGGTTAAATTGTTAGATATTAAGGATCTTTTCTGCTAAATACATCATTGTTTTTTATTGCCTTTAAGAAGAATGAACATTTATTTTATATGTACTATTTAAACTGGCTTCCCAGGTAGCCCAGTGGTAAAGAATCCACCTGCCAATTCAGGAGACAAGGGTTTGATCCCTGGGTAGGGAAGATTCCCCTAGAGTAAGAAATGGCAACTCACTCCAATATTCTTGCCTGGAAAATTCCAAGGACGCAGGAGGCTGGTGGACTATAGTCCATGGGGTCACAAGGAGTCAGACATCACTGAGCACACACACACACATTTAAATTATACAGTAACACTCAATAATGCAAGGACATTTAGGGAACACTTATTGACAGGGAGTCATACTATATTTTGTTTGGCTTTTTACCAAAGATGTATTCCTAAATTTATACATATATCAGTGGCTGCCTCCAAATACTTGCTTTTCTCTCATTTAGCAGAACAATTTCTCCATAAAATTGCATTAAACAGTTATTGTTAAATCATTCTGTACCTTCCTCTAAGAAAATACAGATACTTATTTTGAGTAAGTGCATTTGTTTCATAGAAAGGCACTATTTAGTTCATGAATGTATAGTCCTGTCATTAGTGGTAATCATACTGTTTAACTGTAATCAGGAATTTGTGGGAAACATGCCATTTACATTCTGTTTGGAGGTTTGTTGGTGATCAAATATAAACAAAAACAAATCAGTTTTAGACAGTTCAGGAGATAGCTTAAAAGCGTAAACAAATATGTTATAGGACAACAAAATAGTGAGCTTATAATTATGATGTAAATAGCCTTAAGTTATCTTTTTCTTGTGGGGGGGTGGGGGAGGCGGGCTTCCTTCGTGGTTCATCTGGTGAAGAATCTGCCTGCAATGTGGAAGACCTGGGTTCGATCCCTTGGTTGGGAAGATCCCCTGGAGAAGGGAAAGGCTACCCACTCCAGTATTCTGGCCTGGAGAATTCCATGTGCTGTATAGTCCATGGGGTTGCAAAGAGTCAGAACAGGACTGAGCAACTTTCACTTTTCATCTTTTTTTTTACCCAACTTTATTAAAGTAATAATTGATAAAGCCTTAGTTTTTAAAGTTCAGAGCATATATTAATATGCTTGTAGCCAGTCACTAGTCACAAAAAATAAAAGAGAACAAAATCAAAGTGATTTAGAAAAAATGATGAACTTATGAGCATCTGTAAATTGTAGCATAATACTCAATTGTTAAAGTTTTTGTTATTAACACTGTGTTTTAGTCAGAATAAATGTTAAATTTCTGTATTAAGGATACTTAACATTACAGTGCCTTATTTAATGATAGTTCATTTCTCTCTTGTTTAACAGTCTCAAGGTAAGTGGTCCATCATTCAGGACCATCATTCAGATGCCTTCTCTCTTACTCTCTTACTATCCAGGCCGTCATTCAAGAGAGAGATCATTCTCTCTTACTTTCCTACCATCCCTAGAACATTGTCATCATCTCTGTGGACAAAGCTGGGTTGTAGGCACACTGTGTGCCTGTTCGGGGAGAGGGGAAAGAAAGGATCTAAATCAAGCAATGTTTCTTTTAAGCAGGCGAGGCCAGTGTGGTGCAGATTCCTTCAGCTCTCAATTCATTGAGGAGAAATAGGTTATAAGGTCACGCTTATGCAGGGCTACCATGTGCTCGGGGGAAAGGGAAGATGGATTTGGCATTGCAGGCACTGGGTGAAACTAGCAATCACCACTTCTATTTTTTAATCATCATAGTGGAAGAAGTTTATCAGGAAAGGAAACAAAAATATTGTTTAACAGTATTAATAGGGATAAATAAGTGTAAATATGACTAGATATATAGAGAACACCAAATGTAAAAATATAAATTTTTAATTTTTCTC